AGACAACCCTGAGGAAAAATCAGGAGCTGGCAACCCTAAAGGCAGATTGCGGCGCTACTGATTCCAAACTGTATCGGATATTCCGTTCCTTTGGTCAAATCAGCTGCGTGGAGAAAGGGGGGGGGGGGAGGAACTGCTGTGTGGCGACATCGTTCCGACCATAAACAATGCCCAGGATTTCATCTCGCTTTACGAGATGAACCATAGTCGTTCTACGACTGAAGGAAGCCTGACACACACACTTAAGAAGGGGAAAGAAAGCGTGACAATTGCCATTTTGACCTGCCTGCACTATCATGTTTCGCTATTCACGACGTCGCTCTCTCGTCGTCAAGAAATATATTTAGAGTCGTAAAACTCTCTGTCTGTCTGTTTGTCTGTCTATCTGTGTGTGTGTGTGTGGGGGGGGGTAGGCTTATGCCCAACAGAGTACCTCATACTTTATTCTATCCTATAAACCAATGTTATGCCCTTACAATGTCACTAAGTTAAAGCCGAAGGGAAATATATTTGACATTTTAACGATATAATTAATAGTGTCCTAAACGCTAAATGGAATGTCACTGCTGCCAACTAAATATGATAGAATGGTGTTATACATTAAATTCTAACTCGATTTTTTTCTTCGTCTCAAATCTCATTTATTATCACAAGATAGTGGACCATTTAGTTTTAGCGGCATCCGAAAGGGGAAAAGACGCTGTTAGTTTTGTGTGGTCTGTCTGTCTGTCCGTCCGTTCCGTTTAGATCTCGTAAACTAGAAAAGATAGTAAAAATACGACATCAAAATATTTTAGACCATTCAGAAGTTCTGATGCAACGGCTACTTTTTTCTTTTCTGAAAGCGAAAAATCAATTTTAAAATCAATTATGCAAGAAGTTTTTTCATAAAAATACACTACTTTTACAACTATTCACATTAATAGTAACAAACACTGGAGTCTATCTAGTAAGGGAGATTTCCACCTATTATATTTTAAAGACATTTGTACAAACGGTTTTAGATTTTTTTGTCAAAAAGAAATTTATTTTTTTTTACAATTGTATTGCTACGTTAAATAAGTTTTGTCATACTAATTACTATATTTACAAAAAAAAAATGTTAATGTCTTTAAAGAGAAAAAATCTATTAAGTATGCATAAAAGTGGAACATTTAATAAGTTGTTTTTCATATTGTTATAAACCTGGTGGTGGCACAGAGAGGGGTAGTGGTGTGTCCGTAGTCAGCCGACGCAAATCGCCCCAGGCCAGCGCTAGACGAGCGGTCAACAGTGACGAGTTACGACGGTCGAGTGTCAACATGACGGTTCGGGAAGGATCGCCGTCGTGAACAGAACTCAGGAGCGTCACGAGGGATGTAGTCTTTTGACGAAGCTAGAAACGTCGAGCGATGTTCCGTCCGGTTCTAGAAGGCCAGTAGGGACCCTATATAAAGAGCGGAGGTGTCGCAGTCAAGACGGTTCAGAAAAGGGGTTCACGACAGAAGGTCCACTACAGCCCAATTCAATACAGTCCGACTACAGCACAGTTCAATGGTGTGGTTCTGTACGGAGCATTACGACGGTTCAGTGCGGAGTACTGTCAAGTACAGTTGAGACGAACGGCGTCTTGATCTTGGTCTGCGATCGAGTCCGACACAACGAACCTAGTGTGCAAAGTCAGTCCTGAACTGTTGAACCCCCAGTGCAAGCCCGGAACGAGACGGAGAGGCCAGTGCAAGAGTTGATACGGCGGAACGGTGTTATCGGAGAGATATTTGTACAGTGTACGTGTTGCCAATTGTACAGTATTGGCTGTTATTTATTCAACTATAAAAGTGTTACGTTACTTTGGAGCCCTGATTCGTCAAGTTCTTTAAGTTGGTGGTGTATGGTGCAGTTTGCAGGGAGCCTCGATAGTGAGATTCGTAACAATATTATCGCATGAACTGCAGAGGTCTGCCCCAACGAAGGAACACCTAAGTAAAGGAATGAAAAAAAATTGACGTAAATTTATTTTTCTTGAGGCTTTGAATAAGAGATTAATTTTGTGCAAAACAATTAGATCAATTAGATAATCATTAAATAACATCAGTTAGGCCAGGTTCACATCTAACTTTACATTCACTTTCACCTATTCCTTGGTTTGCTGGACCGTTGGCGCATCACACAAGATCTGTCAACCTTCTTCTCCTTTCTTCTCTGTCATTTGCCTTTAATAGAATTTCATTCTTTCTGAAAGTATTGAAGCCTGCATTTTTATCTACCTGGGTGGACCACTTCTGATAGAATTTCATTCTGATATTCGTCCTGAAAATATTGAAACCTGCCTTTTCACCTGCCTGGGTGCACCACTTCGGGGGCCGATTTTAAGTTTGTGTTTCCACACAAACCGTCTATGTAACATTAATAATTAAATAGGTTTTTAAGTCATAGAGTGAAACTCTAATGCTTTCTTCGTATTGGATCATTTGTGTGCTGCTAACGGAAGAACTTAATTTTGTTTTCCCGTGACCAAGCTCGACCAAGGCATAGATGGAGAATCGGTTCATTCCCGTAATAATAATTTAATCTATATACATCTGTTAACAAACATAATGTAGACTCAAGGCTCTGGGAGAACATTACAAAAAAAATAATAATAAACAAACTATTAGTAAAAATGTAAACTTATCTAAATAAGTTTTGAATAGGTAAGTTGTTATTTATTTATTCGGATGTAGCGTGCTAGAAGTTGAAAGTTCCAAACCTTTGGTCTGTGTATTGAAAAAGTCCACAAGCCGTAAGTGATGGTGAAAAAGTGAAGAAGAAAAAAACAGCTTATCCAAACTGCCTTTAATTTGTACACCGGAAACACCAAAATCTAAGTATTTATAGTTTTTCCGCCACGCTTGAAAATGTACAATAAATTTGAATTAATATAATTCATATAATCATTTTGTAATCGGGGCATAGCCACAATGGCCAACGTTCCTTGTTAATGGAATCATTTTGAAAGATGAAAACAAAATAATAATGGATGCTTTTGTGAAAGTACACCGACACATCCCATTTGCTTTCATTTCAGTCTCGCTGTGAACTATTCGCCTTGATGTCCCCAAGTGCACTGAATATAAAAGTATCTTACAAGATCTGACTAATGACTGAAGTCTTATATTTGTCTGCTTCAGGTAAAGCCTACTCGGATCCAAGCATCAAGATAAATGGGCATGATATAAATGCAGTGGACAGATTCACCTATCTTAGCAGCACACTCTCCAGAAACGGAAAGACCGATATGAAATCGACCTGCGTATCGCCAAGGCCAGTGCATCCTTTGGCAGACTGACTAAAAATGTCTGGAACAGACGTGGTATCACTACAAATACAAAGCTAGGGATCTATCGAGCCGTCATTCTCCCTACATTGCTCTATGCCTCAGAAACGTGGACAGTAGACAGAAAACATGCCAAGAAACTGAATCACTTCCACATGACATGTCTATGAAAAATACTGAATGTCAAATGGCAAAAAAAAATAAAATCAAATACTAAAGTCATTCGAAGAGCGGGTCTGCAAAGCATCCACACAATCCCGATGCAGTCCCAACTGCGATGGGCAGGACACGTCTGCAGAATTGAAGACCGCCGCATCCCTAAACGACTCCTGTATGGCCAATTAAGAGAAGGAAAGAGCTCTCAAGGAGGACAAAGAAAACGCTTTAGGGACACCCTTCAAAGCTTCTCAGAAAGCGTTCGAACCAAGATGGATGAACTATATATATTAATGATTCAAAGAGAGGTTCACTCTTGTATTGTCTCGATACAAGATTAAAATTGTCTGTATTTTGACATGATTACTTCCCTTTGCACATAATATGACAATTTGATATATATACCACTTTATCTTCTTTTACAAAAAATATATTCCCATTTAAGTTCTTGAATAAAAAAAAATATTTCTACACACTCAACAGTCTATGCAGGAAGCAGACAATTAGAAGGCGGGGTAAAATGTAAGCAGACGGCTAAAATTCTTTTTCATACATTTTTTCCTCTTTTTCTCTCAATAAAAATTCCATTTTGTTTCGTTGTTCCATTCCCACAATACATTTTGTTTCGTTGTTCCATTCCCAGCATACATTTTGTTTCCTCTTTTAGTCTTTACTTTCTTGACATATTTTACTCACTGATATAACCTCCATTACGTATTTGTTTTACACCTCATTATCTCTCTATGTCTTTCAGTTAGATTCACATCAACATCTCTTTTATTTATTTATCTTCTCTTGTAACAAGTATCCAATCTATCCGTTCTGTAAGCGTTCTTCATCTACTTAAGTTCACTGTCTTCCACTTCAACAAAATGTTGATTTTAATTAATGCTTTTATATTATCCTAGCCAACAGTGTAACGGTGCGCATGTATCTAATATAAATATGTGCCTTCAGACCTCCGAGTTAGTCGTTTAATAGCGAAGGACATAGGCCTAATAATCTTCTCCTTTGAAGAAACGTCTGAAATGTATAAGATAAGATAATAGATAAGACAATAGACATTGGTAAGTTGACATTGTCACAGCGAAGTTTTTCATGTGCATTTTAAACATATATATAAATACTCTGTTTTATTTTACCATATTTCTAAAGCTTAAAAAGATATACATCTCTCACTAAGAGCAGATAGATGTGTTATTGTCATTATTATTATGTTAGAAAAGAACGCGTGTTCATTCTTAGGTACTGCCAGGGCCGAGTTTCGGTAAATTATTAAATTTCGTTATTATTATTATTATTATTATTATTATCATTATTATACGGCTTGTCCTCGAGTCCGAGGATTAATGAGGAATGCATTATTTCCCATGGCTACACATCCCGAACTGTGACCTACATATTTTGCCACATCAGGGCAAGCATAACCATTGTCCGCCCGTGGTCGATTAAGATTTATTATTATACTGTATATACAAATGCAAACTTTTCAAACTATAGATACAGTAATTTATTTTATTCTTTAAATATAAAAAAAACAACTTTTTCTTTATGGCCAAAACTGGACACATAGTAAAATAAATAAATACATAAATAATCATGTTAGATTTACAAACAAACAAAAGTTCTACTATCTAGCGGCAACAACAAAGTCTGGTTTACTGTAGCCGGATTAGTCAAGGGATTTGGATTAGTGTTAGAGTTAAGGGTTAGGGTTATTTAGGCCATTTGCATTTAAATCTTTATCTTTTTTCACATTAACGAGTGTCAAGTAAGTGAACTACACTTTATCTAGGTAAGTTGCACATTATATAGGTAATGTGAAAAAAATGAAACATTAACTGATTTTCCTAGTTAATCTGAACATTAGCAGATATTCGCACTGTAATGGTAGCATGTTTATCTTTTTTATATCTATAAAATCATAATAAAAAAAACGAGGAATACATTTTATGATCTTGTTTTAATTTTCTAACCTCTAATTACACATGTTTCAATTAAAAAAAATGTACACCATTATGGAGACGTGACATTACCATAACAAAAACTGTCAATAAATAAACACAGATCAGTTCACCCAATCAAAGCCATCTGTACTATATCGCATACATTTTTGAAACATAGAGATATCGCATTGCAATGTAGAGGTTAGTCGTAAGCAGACGAATCTCAAAGGTTAAAAGTCATGGGTCACTGCCTGCCTGACCTTTCTGTCAAGCAATTCAATCAAAAAACTTTTTCTAACCAGTGGGTTGGGGTGTATTTACATATAAAGGCTTATAAATAAATGTAAGAAAATCCATAGCAATACTGAGCTAGCTATAGCTCTGAAAGGGGTGATTGAAGGCTTGCAGGCCACAGAATTTCAGTCAACCGTGAAAAACAATAGAGAGATAACTTCCTGTACCGCATGGCTTATTATAGAAAGAAATCAAAGTATATACATAATTTGATAAATACAAAACAGGTGTATCATCTATGCATCTATCGTACAAATAAAGTCTTCTACGTCTTCAGAAATATCATGTGTTGTATCTTTAAGGACAATCACCCTAGAAAATCCAAGGACCTGCTGCCAGGCAAGGACGTAGCTGGGCCTAACTGTTCCGTCAAGTACGACCCGAACCTTCGTCCCTTCACTCATCACAGTCCCCAACTCACCCACGATGCTTCTGAATTCAGATTCGTGCCTCTTGCTCAACACCAGCACCAGTCGTTTGTTTTGGCCGTTGGAGGGAATGCTGACGGGGAGTCGGCCTGGCCCACCTTCACTGGCACGCCTCTGTCTGCTCGCCTTCTTCCTCCATTTCTTGATAGCAGCGCGAACACTTGGCCTTCTGTTACCTTGACCTTTTAAATTCTGCGCAGAAGAACTCTCTGGGCCCAAACCGGATATTACACGAAGGCGAGCGTGGCAATCTGAAGCTTGAAGCTTATTTGTAATCGTCTCCAACTGCTGTTGTCTGTCAAGACTGTCTTGCTCAGATAGCGGATTGTTGTCATAGGCAACAGTGACGTCAACATAATGTCGGCTACAAACTAAAAAAAAAAAAAAAACAGGAGAAGAATTATTAGTAAAAGAAAGGATTGTACTGTCTAACAATCTGTAGGCCTATACATGTTTGTGATTTTGTTTAGTAGAGAGTTCTGCTGTGGTATACTAACTAGAACTAACAAGGCGACAGACAAGGAAAATGACGAATCCAGTGTGAAGTGGTGGTTCTTTCATTACCTCTGCTAAGAGACACGCTAACAAGTCGCTTTAGATTTAAAGTGGTTTTTTTTTATATTTTTTTTTTATTTTCGTTCTTAAGTGTCAACAACCTCTTTTCTTTTAAGCAGGTCCTTATTAGAGAAGGGGGTTAGAGACTAACTTGTCTGATTATTATTATTATTGTTATTATTATTATTAATATTATTATTACTATTATGTTAGAAACGAACGAGTACCGTTAAAGGGAAACAAAATTCATCGTAGTCCCTTTATCAGTTTCCATTAAGGAATTTTCTGGTGATGTGGCAGGTCTGCAGAAGTACCGCCCTCTGACAGGCAACGAGAATGTTTCTAGGAATGCCAAGGGCCTTGAAGGTATCTGTGAGGTCAGTTGTTATTATCCCCTCGGTTGATATAACAATGGGGTGTATTGTTGTTTTAGATAATTTCCATAAACACTTAATCTCCAAGCCAAGGTTCCCATATTTTCGTTGCTATTCCAGCTCAGTTTTTTGTTCTTAAATTATGAGATAATGGTGCGTCGATATCAATAATGGTAACGGCCTTTTCTTTTTTATCGATGAGCAGCAGATCAGGGCAATTAAAATCTACCGTTTTGTCAGTCAAAATAGGCCTATCCCAGTACAGTAGATGATCCGTAGACTCCAGAACCTTTTGTGTTGAGTATTTGTAATAAGGAGGAGTATCCTTACTGATCAAATTTTGTGTCAAAGCCCAGTGCCGGTGTATTAGCTTTGCAACTTGGTTAGGGCGACCTATGTAGGCAGATTCCGATAGAGCTGAACATCGTGCCATTATGTGTTCAATTGACTCACCCACATTTCCACATTTTCGGCATTTGTCAACAATATTGAGTGTTAGGATATGTTTCTCGTAATTTTTTGTCCTAATTACTCTGCCCAGCATTACTGTGACAAAGCCTTCAGTTTCAGGGTGGAGATGACCTGCTTTGAGCCATGCTAAGGAAGCAGCCTTCTCAATGTTGTCCCCATGTAATAAAGCCGGCAATTTTCGTGGAGTGTTTTTTCTTCCCATTGGCGAATCTCATGCCATTCGTCATCCAAACCGACATTAACATCAACATTGTTTAGGTTCAGAGGGGTTGCATCATAGTCGTATTTGCGTAGGAAGGAAACTAATTGATTGCTGGAGGCGTGCAGTTTTGATCGTATTAAACTATATTAAACTTGCGTCTTACACAGTTTGAAGATGTTCTGTAATCCACGACCCCCATCCTTCCTGGGCAGGTATAACCTTATGGTCGAGGACTTGGGATGCAAACATCAAAATTTGGTTAATGATTTCGTCATGAGCCTGTCAAGGTCATGTAGGTGAGTGTCAGTCCATTTGATGACTCTGGATGCCTAAAGGAGCACTGTTACGGTCCAGCTATTTATTGCAATGTTGAGTTTTTTTTTTGTGTTGAGAATTTTGTTTACTCTTTGCTTGTATTTACCAAGAAAGTCCTCTTTTAATTTTTTATGGTGTATCGTGGCATTCTGGTTTATTTCAAGATATTTATAAAGGGAGGCAGAGTTCAGTTCTTCGATGCCTTCAAATGCAATGTTGGTGTTTGCTGCCTTGCCCTTATTATTATTATTATTACTATTATTATTATTACTATTATTATTATTACTATTATTATTATTACTATTATTATTATTACTACTATTATTATTATTACTATTATTATTATTACTATTATTATTATTACTATTATTATTATTACTATTATTATTATTACTATTATTATTATTACTATTATTATTATTACTATTATTATTATTACTATTATTATTATTATGTCTTCTCTAAGAATAGAAGACACAAAAGACGAAATCCTTACCTTCAATAATGTTTCGTATCATTTTCGTCTTTGCCGTGGTCAGTGTCTCGATGTCTGAGACATTAAGCTGAAAGTAAAGTTCACTGCTGCTGGCAGCTTCCTGGAGCTCTGTGCTTTCTTCTGCCTCTCCCACATTGACCACAACCACCACTAGATCCTTTTCCAGAGACTTCAAGGCCGTCTTAACCACACTCGAAAAATTACCAGAGCCGCCCTCGTAAGCGATGACCACAGCTACTCGTGCCACGCCATCCCTACCGCCGTTTCGACTTTCAAACATATTGTCCAGCACTTTGACCAGCGCGTGGATTTTGCGTCTCGGAGCGATGGGCTGGCGAATAGTGCTGACCATGAATTGAAGGTCCTCCATGCTGTTGCACGAATTGAGCCTGAACCCTATTCCAACGTCCTCGCCACTGAAGGTCACGGCTCCGATGCGAGTCTGGCCTGGCTCCTGTCCGATCTCAAATACATTGGCGATGTCTTGTATTAATGTGGTCGTTCTGTTATAAGCGATGTCCGATGCTTCATTGGAACTAGATGTATCAACTACAAAAATGACATCAGTGGATTGGCCATGAACTTGGTTTAAAGATAAGCAGACGACAGCTAGCAACTGGAAAGAAATTATAAAAACATTTCTCTTATCAGTAGGCAGATATCTTATATCTCATCTGAAAGTTTTCGAGTGCAATTATTTTTTTAAAAGGTTTGAGTTCTCTTAGAAAAAACACAATTGTCAATGTGCGAAATTGAGTATGAAATAGCGCGCATAAAATTTAACAAATCTAGTTTCTAATTATATTCGTTTTGATCAGAGACACATTTCTTATTCCATATGCTAGGACTAATTCCTACAAGTGCTTTTTTTCTTCCCTAGTGTCATTAGAGAATAGAAAGGGTCGTCTGAAGTAGCCAGGAAAAACAACGAGTTAGCAGTTTTAAGTCACTGATTAACACGCATGACTAGATCGACACATGAAACGAGTAGGACTTAATCATCTTCTCGTTTGAAGTAACGTCTGTAATCTATAAGATCAGATAAGATTGATTAGTTCTGCAAGTGATAGGAAACTCTTTATTAATTTCCGACAAGATAACAGCAAAATTCTGGACACAAACCTTAACCTACAAGAAGAATCAATCCAGTCTGGATAGAAAAACATAATAAATTGTACAACTACGAAGCCTTCATTTGGGCCAGACGATTCCCTTGTCTAAGATGCCGTCGCTGTGGTCAAAACGTCAACAAAAAGTGCATTCGTTATCAGTGGGTTGTGTCAGGGGCAGGTATGGCGAGAGTGAATATGTTACTGTGTTGATATTTTGGTATGATAGTTATATCCATTTTGTTTATGTACTCCCAGGCCCAGGTTATGAATGTGAATAGTCTTGCGTGTGATGTGAACTGAATGGTTTAGTCTTCCTTAAATGTGAGCGAGAGTGTGTTAGGTAGTGGGGTCTTGTTCCCGGTCCAAGAAGGTTGGTCAGTTGCTTCCTGGACTGGTGTTGTGTAATAATATTTTCTGAGAGTGTTGCTGCTATTGTGTATATAATTGGATAATAAAACTATTATTGTTTTTCATGATTAGCTGGAGTTGGAGTTTATTTAGTATTAATTAATTGTTCTTGTGTATCCCCTAATGAGCCAGGCAAGAAAAGAACCTGACAGTTTGAAATCAAGGGTCCATTTAAAGTACTAATCAAGTTGGTGAGTTCACAGATCAAATGCTGATTTAACCTCAGGTTTACATAAACAAGGAAATCCTATGCCGAACTGGGAATCGAACACTTAGTGAGGTTGTGACAGAGCGTCGCAAGAGGTTTGCGGGACATGTTCTCCAACAAAATGAACTATGCATACCAAGAGTTGCGATGACATGGAGGCCGATACGAGGAAAGCGCGAACATGACGTCCTTGTATGACTTGGCATCACACCTTCATGGAGGACCTTAGAACAGTGGACACCAGGTGGGAGGAGGCTTTAGACACTGCCAGTGACAGATCTTAGTTGAGACAGTATGCCGCCCCATGCGCCGAACGGCGAGGGAGGACCTAAGTGTATGTCTAAGTTACACATAGTATGTCCGATAACAATTTTCGCAATTATTTAACATTCTTTCATACCAAACACTAGACAAGAAGTCTACTTACCAACTGGTAGATACAAAATTCGTCTTTTAAAACCTTCATGCCAGATTGTTTCCACACTTTCATCTCTGCAGACACGATTTCAGTGGAAAACTAAAAATGTTGGTAGTCCCTCGAAGTACTGACCAACTCAG